CATTAATCATAAGGTAGTGTAGAGTCCTTCATTCAGCCATATTGTTCATACAACAATAAGGAAGTGCAGAGTCCTTCATTCCGCCATATTGTTCATAGAACAATAAGGAAGTGCAGAGTCTTTCATTCCGCCATATTGTTCATTAAAGATAAGGAAGTGTAGTTTTTACATTCCGCCTTATTGTTCATTAACCATAAGGTAGTGTAAAGTCATTCATTCCGCCACATTGTTCATTAACCATAAGGTAGTATAGAATCCTTTATTCCGCCATATTGTTCATTAACCATAAGGTAGTGTAAAATCTTACCTTATTGTCAATGAACAATATGGCGGAATGAAGTGTAGAGTTCTTCATTCCGCCATATTGTTCATTAACCATAAGATAGTGTAAAATCTTTCATTCATTAACAATAAGGTAGTGTAGAGTTCTTCATTCAGCCATATTGTTCATTAACCATAAGATAGTGTAAAATCTTTCATTCATTAACAATAAGGTAGTGTAGAGTTCTTCATTCCGCCATATTTTTCATTAACCATAAGGTAGTGTAAAATCTTTCATTCATTAACCATAAGGTGGTGTAGAGTTATTCATTCAGCCATATTGTTCACCACGTTACTTTTTATCGATAGTACTGACTGTCCGCTCTTTAAATCAAAAACCAGTTCGTTATTTCTTGATGATAATAATGTGATGATCTACAGTAGAGCAACCCTTTCCCCATGTAAGCGAAGTCAGGACTGGAAAAAACATTGAAATCCAGATTGTATAAATCTCAGTATTGGAAGGTCCAGTGTCACGTTGGTTTTTATAGTTATAGGAAGTAATATAATTAATTACGCATAAGTCTATCCTGTATGCCCCACCGCAACTCCTTTTTTTTTTTTTTTTTTTTTGCATTTGCGAATATCAGTATTCAAAGCTTCTTTAGAAACCAGAAACTGTACAACAGAGTTATGGAGAGTGACCAGTCACTTTCGGTTCTACAGCGTTTCTTTCTTGATAATATTGATGATAAAAGCCAAATGATATTTTTCTTGGACCTATGTCTGGTCATTTTATGGTCTGGAAAATCATAACTATGACTTAGCCAGTACCTACAGCGCCACTTGTACCCATAACTTTGACTCAGCCTGTACTGTTGCGCCATCTGTACTCATAATTCTGACTCAACCTGAATTGAGCATAAATACAGTTGATTTTCAGGGTCTCTGTGTGTTGTCATGTCTCAATTTTCTATGGAAAAACAATGAAAAAACTTTACTGAAATACATCTTCGGAATTGGAAAAATACAAAACAGCAGCCGTGTCCACAGCCAGAATTTTTTTAAGAGCGGGCATTAGATTTTATTGATGCCGGAGCACGGGAAGATTGCTCACAACTACATTTTGAAGGCATATGGAGTACATGAGTTACGATGCTTTAGAACACCGATTATAGCAAATCATAATTTATTATTTAGACACAAGTTTATTTTGACGATGACAGCCAATCGTGTCCTATTCAATGCATTTATGATATGGCTGGACCAGTCTAGGTTAAGTAACGCTAGGCGTATTGAAACATCGTCGGGTTACTAATAATAGTAAGTAATATTAGAATGCTTAAAACGCAGAACTAACTTATCCTAACTTCACCATAAACGGCAGGTTCCATCGAATCCACAACAGCTATGTACCAAACATTCAGCAGAATAAAACAGTCTATAAGCCACATAGGTGCTACGGGGGACTACGTATATTATTTCACACACACCGCAAACAGCTCTCTGAAGAACAAGGAGTTTGAAAAGGAGAAACAGATTAAGATTGACAGAGACATCTTGGATAGAACTGCGAACAAGTTAATACATTTGGCAGAATAATAACTTATAAAGAAAGAAAGAAACAGGTGGATACGGATATATCTAGGGCAGAACTGTGAACAGGTTAATACATTTGGCAGAAGAAGGACTTAGAAAGAAACAGGTGAAGACGTAGATATCTAGGTCAGAACTGTGAACAGGTTAATACATTTGGCAGAAGAAGGACTTAGAAAGAAACAGGTGAAGACGTAGATATCTAGGACAGAACTGTGAACAGGTTAATACATTTGGCAGAAAAAAGACTTAGAAAGAAACAGGTGAAGACGTAGATATCTAGGTCAGAACTGTGAACAGGTTAATACATTTGGCAGAAGAAGGACTTAGAAAGAAACAGGTGAAGACGTAGATATCTAGGTCAGAACTGTGAACAGGTTAATACATTTGGCAGAAGAAGGACTTAGAAAGAAACAGGTGAAGACGGAGGTATCTAGGACAGAACTGTGAACAGGTTAATACATTTGGCAGAAGAAGGACTTATAAAGGAAAAAATGGATGAACCAGATTTTCTGGAAAGATGAGTAGAAACCTTCAGTAAGTCAGTGACTGTCGTGACATTGTATAAAGCTATCTTCTGGAAAGGTGAGTAAGTGATCTCACAGCACTGGTCAGTAAGTCAGTGACTGTCGTGATCTCGCATAACGCTATCTTCTGGAAAGGTGAGTAAGTGATCTCACAGCACTGGTGAGGTCGATGCAGGTGAAAATAATCGAATACTAGTTCACACAGGTGCACAAAGAGCGACTAATGGTACCGATATCAACAAGGAAAAGATACTAGTTGAAGCATGAGTAGTTGTAGACCTTGTGTCCTACTCTGAAAGTAGAGAATAGTAGTTAAATGATTTAAAATCGATACTTGTGTAAAACATCTACTTACAATTAAAAGGAATACAACGTTAAAATCATTACACAATAAATAGCTATTAAAAACAGGGACTCTAAAAAAAGAATCTACATACGTTTCGGTGTTCTATGACACCATCTTCAGGAGTAACGTAATAGGCATATTTTTGTTGTTGTTTTTTTCTATTTGGATAGTTTCTCTGATATTTAATTCAATTTTAAATTTTACCCGTTTTGTCAACTTAGTATTATTCGAGTCTATAACGTGAGATGTTTTCGCCACGTTCTGCTAATACCAGTTCATTTACTTTGTACTTTTCTACCGCGTTTTTATGTTCCTTGATCCTAAATTTTAAATCTGTACTCGTTTGGTACAATATACACTTGACCACAAATACAAGGAATTTTATAAATACCACATTTATCAATTTATTCTAATGTTCTAAATTAAATAGAATCACGAGTACAAAATATAGAATAGGAGAAACAGAAGGCAGTTAATCACCACCCATCGCCAACGAATAGTGGGATCGAACATCACATTATAATGTCCATATGGCTGAAATGGGTGAGAATGTTTGGTGGGACGGGAATACGAACCCGCGACCCTCAGATTGCGAGTGAAACGCCCTTATTACTTAGGCCAGGTGTCAAAGGACACTGAAACATGTGTATTGTTTTTTAGGGCAAGTCCCTGTTTTAATAACTATTTATTGTGTAATGATTTTAACGTTGTATTCCTTTTAATTGTAAATAGCAGTTACGTCTTCAAACAGTACAGGTTGCATAACAAGGAAATTTTCCAGGCTTTCAGCGAGATTCCACGAACAAGAAGTGCTCATGAATCTGCTCATTCTGTATCTGAGAGTATTCCAACGAAGTCTACATTACTTCAGGTTACTTATTCTCAATTACTCCTGCATCTAATGCAAGAAGCTTAGTATCTACAATAAAATACTGAATTAATTTAAAAAAGCTTTTAGGATCTTGCCAGTATTTGGAGAGGGCGCTAGTAATGGCACAGAGGCCCGTATTAAAGCAATACAAAAGTCATCTGGATTTTCTTCTCTACAGGTCATCAAAAGCTACATATGAAGAGCTACCCGGCACAGTCGCTCTATCTCCGGTTATATGCCACTTTTCAGCTATCCAGAACGTCCCAAAGTCGAAAACTGGCGATTAACCAAAACCGAGTTTTGTTATTTTCGTTCATCATCATCTTTCTTCAGCAGGCCTAGCGCCTATCTAGTGCTAGCAGTAACTATAATTTTATCATCATTTGATAGATCAAAATAGTCTTCACGATTTTTGACTACCTATTTTATTATTATTATTATTCTATGCAAAATTAAAGAAAAACAAATCATAATTCTAACGTCAACGATGTTATTACCCCTTGAAATTAGCTTTCCTACAGATATTTGTTGCTCTTTTAGAAACTTAAGTACAGGGTGAAACAGGAATTACCAGCCAATAATAGTTGAACATTAGATGACTGTAACACGTACAATACTCAGTGCTTTATATACTATACAATCGGTGTCATTAAGGAGTCAACCCTTATATTATGTATGAAGAGAAGGAGTAAAAAAGAAAATAATTAATACACATACGGGTCATCAGAAACTAGATAGCTGGAATAGATAGCTACCTCTATCTACAGTGTATATGCCGCTTTTCAGCTATCCAGAACGACCCAAAGTCAAACATTGGCGAATAGCCAAAACTGAGATTTGTTATTTTCGTTCATAGTCATCTTTCTACAACAGGCCTAGTTCTAGCAGTAACTATAATCTTATCACTATTTGATAGAAAAAAAAAACAGTTCTCAAGATCTTTGGCTACCTATTTTATTATTACTTATGCAAACTTTATAAAGCTTTAGAATACACTCTGTAATCTAGTAACACACGTACGTCATCTTATAAAAACATAAGTAAAAAAACAAGTATTAGGAGAAAATGTATTGCAAAATAAAAAAAATCTATGTAAGTCTGGCTACTGAACTTGAGAAAGGACCAAACAAGATAGGGATGGAAATGGACATATCACTTGATCCGGCTAATGATCACATAACAGACTAAGCTGTCTCGACTTTACATGGAGAATAAAATCCCCATATTACTGGCTTCCCCACTGGCAAACAAATAGAAATAGAATTTCCAATCGTAAAATATTATTCTATTGTAAAATAGTCATAAAAATAGTATTCTAAAGTTAACTAAAGGAAAGGTATAATAATGAAAGCTGAGATTCTATTCAAACACCAAGCTTTCGATAGACAAAGTGGGGAAGCCAGTAATGTAGGGATTTTATTCTCCATGAAAAGTCGAGACAGCTTAGTCTGCTATATGATCATTAGTCGGATCAAGTGATATGCCCAGTTCCATCACAATCTTGTTTTGTAACCATGAAGAGATCCTAATGAACAGTGCCTAGTGCACACTTTAAGAACGATATCTAGTGCGGCGCCTAGAGAAGGATAGCTAGTGCACGCCTAAAGAAGTGTCTCCAGTGCGCGCCTAGAGAAGGATAGCTAGTGCAAACCTAGAGAAGGGTATCCGGTGCACAGTTAGAGAAATGTGCCATCAGTACACATGCTCAATACTGTTAATACGTATCTTTCAACATACTGTTAATATGTGACTTTCAACATACTGTTACGTCTCGTTCGTTAGTTAATTTTTCGAAAAGATTCTTCCCGAAGAATTTTACAGATACAAGTCCTTTCTTAAATAAAACTGGTTTATT